TGGCTTGTCTTAGGTGCCACAGCTTTACATGGTGTATACACTAAAGGATTATAGCAATTATTATAGCAATGAGCAGTCAATGATGAAACTAATTTTAAATGTATCTTAGCATGGTAGACAATGAAAAACATCTTTTTGGTTGTGTGTATTAACTATTAAATGCAGGATTTTGTTTTTCCTAAATCAGGAAATTACTATTTTTCTCATTTTGCCATTGGCTCTGACAAAAAGAAACCCTACATACTTCRGAAATTTTAAGTGTTAATAGGGCAGAAATCTGCCAAAAAAAATTGCATATGTGGGTTGTTTAGGAACATGGTGCACTCAGAAATTCAAGGGAACGTGTGTGCTCCCTTCAGCAGCCTCATACTAGGAAAGAAAATCATGTTCTGTTATTGAATCACAGGCCTCTGGGGTTTATCAGTGGTTTAATCCYGATGTTCATTCCTATTTAAATTAAAATTGTACATTAAGATTTTTTGTAATTTAAAAATCAGTTGTCAAAACCATTGTGTTTTCCATTTTAACAACAAAATAAAGTCAGGATAGCTAAGTAATGTAATTGTGCATTGTAGAAACGTATACTAAAGAGACCGATGGCAGGAGAAATACAATAAACCAGTGTACTGTGTTTCATACTGTCCCTTGTTTYCAGTCAAGAAATACAGTATTGCTGTGTCCTTGAGTTGATTAAAGACTGAACATTAAGGCTTCTCTGGCTGGCCAAAGGAARCTGACATGCTGTATCTGGTATKTGTTTCTGCAGGTCTGTAGGACCTKACTTGGGTATGGTTTTCCAGTTCCCAGTTTAGTGCAGTAAAGCTGCTTCACAGACAAGGATTGGTTTCTACTGAACCATTGCTTAACCGCCCTGTTCATGTCACTTCAAATGGTTCTGGTTTCCCCTGTATCAGTTCTTGGCTCAAATTTGCCTTTTCTGCTTCCATCTCTGAGGTGCTCTGGGAGGGCACCCAAATTTACCCTCAGGAGCTAAAGGAGGAATGTGTGGAAAAAGAAGGTGATTCCCTGGATGCATTCGGTTGTTTCTGGTGGCTTACTCTCCAAGCCATATCCTTTCTACTGTTGAATTTCTGTGAAGTAGCCTCTCTCATGGTTTTATATTGCCTTTGGAGGCACTGGAAAGAAGGTTCCTTTTTAAATTGAGGGGTCTGGCAAAGCCAGGAATGAGGAATTGTCTACCATCAGAAAGTCTTTGTCACAGAGCAGAGGTTCCCGTGAAGGTGAACTTAGAAGTGCTTCTGATGTACTGATTTTTAAATGTGGTGGGGGAAGAGTGGAAATAGAACCTCTGTATCTGCTGGGCCTCAGATGTTCCCAAATTGTCTGTGTTACCGTATACATCTTAGAATGTTCTGGGTCTGAGTTACTTCTGTCACATTGAAGTTCAGCCTGTCTTTTCACTCTAAAGTGTTATGGGGCCTCTTGTAGCTTCTTTCTTACAGCACTCAGCAGGCCCTTGTTTGTCCTGCGCCCTGTGTGAGTGCTTTTTAACCCTGTCACCTCGTCATGAAGGATTGTACAGARCCCTGTCAGTGCCATTATTTGCACCTGTGACAACAGGCTTTTTCAGCACTTTTTTTTACTTCTTCATCTGAACAAAGTCCTCGTTAGCCTGTCTGCCAACTGAGCACATAATCAATGAGCTGGAGGTGCTTTTGTGTGAGCAGGATAGCAGCTGGTTTTGCTTACACTTTTACCTTGGCAGGACATTTTCYGTATGCACTGCCAAAAATATACAGCATCTGGCTTTTTGTCAGCCTGCCCAACTTGAGTTTCTGGCTTGACAGACAATTTCTTGCTGCACTGATTTGTAGAGACCATGTTGGAAAGAACCAAAGTCTGGTAACTTGTGTACATGCTTAGTGAGGCTATACCAACTAGTTTCTATAGCTGTATTATTTACAATAATATTGGTTGTTCCTGTGCAGGTATCTATTAAGATCATAGAAAAAGGTTACTACTGAACAGTTCCTAGCAGCAAGTTATAAATACTTCTGTAATTGAGTAGAGCTAATGTGTTTTACTTACTAAAAGCTGACACTTTTTATTTATACTTCCCAGAAGAAAAGTACATCTACAAAGATCTTTTCTGGGGGGAAMTACGTAACAAAAAGCTCACCTGAATACAACTGTTAACTACAAACATGTTTTAGTTCACTATGAAAGTTGAGTTTTCACAACAGTGAAAGCCGACAGTTTTTCCCCCCTTAGCTTGGAATCTGCTTTTCCCCTTTTCTTTTTGATTACATGGTTTAGTTTGTTTTTTTAAACAGATAACAGTCTCTTCCCTTGATGAAAAGCATAGCCTGTGCATGCCCATTATTTTAATTCTAAATCTGTAATTTACTATATGTATACATATATTAGTTTGTCTGGAGGCTGCAGTATTTTTGCTGTGGATATGAATGCACCACAGTCATGCAAAGAGCAATTCCTCTTCTTTGTCTTCCTGGCAAGCCCTTCTTAAAGGGTGCRTATCCCTCCACAGCAGCACTCGGTCCATTCACCACATCCCTGGGATCCTGACGGGATCCTACCCCTGCAGCTGCACACAGATCTCTGATTCCTGTTTATGTCCCACATTGCGTGCCTGGSTGTGCAAGCTCTTCGGAGACTTCCTCACTTCCATCCAAATGCTCGAGGTGACACACTGGAGCCATTTTATTCATCTGGTGTTCCTCATGGTTCCCATCACCCCAGGTGCTTTCTCAGCAKTATCTCCATCACTCCCTCAGAGCTGCAGTAACTCTGCCCCTCCCTCAGGGCTCCTGGTTTTGTTTTTCAGATGCAATTTCAAGGRATAATTCCTATCTGGTTGTAAATGTTTGAAAGTAGCATCTTCCTCAGAGGTTTGAAAGTTTGGTTGGATTTTGAACAGTCTCTTTTCAGTTCACTGATTATTGTAATGAGGCACTACTGTGTTACCTCACTTYTYTTGGCCTGATGTAATTCAGAATGTTGTGGAAAGCTTTTTCTAGTCAGGGATTCAGTTGGATGCTTGTCATTTCCCAAATCTGGGAGTGGAAAACAAAAAGGAGTGAAAGAAATTTTCCTAGAGAGAAGMCATGGTTGTGTTTATGTTTTACAGTGATACTTTGCATCTTTTGTCTGGTCTACACTTATTTAAAGCAAAAATATTATTAAAAACAGSAGACATGGCAGATATTTCTTTTCAAGCCATTTGAGGTTTTGCATGTGTTATTTTGGTCCATGAACATACAGCTGYATGTATTCATACTACTCTTGTTCCTGCAGACAACACTCACATGGGGACCCTACCTGTGGTTTCACATGCTGCGAGTTGCCACGTCAACCTTATCAGGTATTGCTTTATTTAATTCTTGGGTAATCCAGAAGGGGAACATTGAAAGTCACCAAGTCACRCTGACAGACTGTAAATCATTGGGCTCTACGTGTTGCTTTTTCAAAAGTATGAATCGGACTGAATTTACTCTGTGAAGAAGTTGCCTTAGGCACKTAAAAAAAATGTTTTTTTACTTTCAATCAGCAACTCTTGCATGGAAAAATGAATGGAAAATACCCTTTTGATGAACACTTTTCCCCCTTTTTCTGCATATGGAGATAGGTAGGTGTTGGCAGGGGAATGTATCAGCCTTGTATTAGGTTTTGTGTGGAACCGTTTTGTGYGATGTTACCTGAAAGGAATGCTGGCTGGTGTAACTAAACTGACAGTTTTTCTGAAGACAACTAGAAATTATCCCAAGAACACATCTAATTGTGTGCCATACAATAAACTTCTGAGGTTACAGAAATAAACAGGATTATTATCAAAGGTCTTAAACTCACTGCACAGAAATTTGACTCCTAGACCTTTCAAAATGTTGCCAGGTTTTAAAAATGCTTGTGCTAAGTCTGTGTTCTTTCCAAGTTGTAAAGTATCTCTATTGGGTTTTTTGACAAATATTGTGCAATTTGCCATTGTACGTGTAATTTTGAATATTTAAATTTTTTTTGGCARTCTATTAGTTAACCTATCCTTATTTTTAGAAACACTTTTTCTCTAATCTATGGTGTAATTATGCACCTGTTCTTCTATATGGTGGTAGATACTGCTTTTTTCAGAAGCTTTCTATGAATTTGAAGATYAGTCCTTTCTTCTTTGCACTTAAGTTTTGGCTCTTACATTTTTAATTCGAAYTGTACTTTTGCACAATGCTTGGAATGACAGGATATCTTTAAAATGAGCTATTGTGAATGTTCATTTAAGTAGTCAATTGCTAACTTGTAACTTTTTTTCCGTGGAGATGACTAACTCATTTGCATCCTTGGGGCAGATTTACAATTTGAAATGTAGAATATTTGACTTCCTGCTTGCCTTTACTCAATAACCAATGCTGTAGCCATCACCATGGTAAAGAAACTGRCTGACAAGCTCCCCCTGTTCCATACTTTTGAGCTGTTTTAGCAAAGTAGCACTGAATGTAGCGTACAGTTTGAGAACTGAGACAGCTGAAACATAAATATTTTATTAATCCATTAGTATGCAACACAGAACATTGTTAAAACTGACTTGAAGTATGCTTATATCAATAAATATTGTCTAGTTTGCTAGTAACACTAGGCTGAACTGCTAGTGCWGTTGGTACCCTTGTACTTTTGTCTGATCTTAATTTTAAGTTAAAGTTCAGCTCAAGGCTTTCCCTTTAACTGATTCCTAGCAAAACAAACTTAGATCCAAAGCTGAAACTAACTGAATTCAAACGCTACCACCACATATATTTTCATTGAATTCCATGTTTTTCTCCTTTTGTTCATTCTTTATCCTAAAGAACAATTATTAGTATGTTCAGCTAATAATTACATGTAAGTAATTATTAACCTCACAGATTTTATTTTGCAAGTGAAGTAGGACTATAGAAAACCATTTGGGAAAAATGGTCCTAATTTCTGTAATAAAACTCTGTTTAWGAATTTTCTTCTAGATGCTAATTATATGTAAACCTCTCTTTATTTTTTAGTGTGTGATTTCCTGGGGGAAAAGATTGCATCTGTTCTGGGGATAAGCACACCAAAATACCAATATGCCATTGATGAGTATTACAGAATGAAGAGAGAGGTATGTGTGTGAGATAGGRTTCTTGCACTCCTTTTCTCCCAATCTGTCTTCCCTGGTATTCTAAAAAATAAAATTTGTATTCTATCATTAAAATGAAGCTTTAGGCCCTCAATTTCAGCTTGCCTTCAGTTTTTATTTGATGCATGATTAACATTTGCTTATCCATCAACCTTTTCTCTCCAGCTCATCAGTCTTAGAATGAGGTGGGTCCTGACCTCTGCTCTGTTTTTGTCTCTGGTACAATACATTTTCTAGTCAACACCATGAGAAAGTTGGACGGACAGCTGCTAAACACTGCAAAGAGGTTGCTGCTACCAATACACTTTGCAACTCTGGAACTTGTTCAATGCACTGTCAAGGGTAAATTGAACATGAGGTTGCTGTTTGTTCTAAAGCATAACTGGACAAGGCTGTTAGGTAGCCAGTGCTTTAGGAAAAAAAAAAAAACAACCCTTACTAGTCTTCATTTAGAAGAGATGGAAAACATATTTAAAGTTTTATTGTTTATTTTTATACTGAGAGCTGAAAAAGCTTTAGAGGAGGTAGAACTGTCACTAGTGCTATTAATTAAAACAGCTTATCTAGATAGGTGTCTTTTTTTTCTGTGTTTAACATGGTTTAATCTTTCACTTTTGGCAATATTTCCTCCATAATGGGAGTTCTGGAATATACCGTTCCTTGTGATCAACTAGTGACTGTTTTCCAGTGGAACAAATGTCCTTGCCTTGTAATAGCAATTGGTAAGCTCTTATGGAAAGACTTCGGGTTAATCTAAGWGGTAAATTGTAGCGTATGAATCTGGTTATCCCTTTTCAGGAGGAAGAGGAGGAACAGGAAAACAAGATGTCAGAAGAAGCAGAAAGACGGCATCAGGAACAGCAGAATAAGGCACAAGCTGAAGCTCCTGTCCAGACAGACCAGCCTGAAGCAACAGCAGGCTCTTCATTCGTGAATRTAAACTTTGAAAATGAGGGAGATTGCCCGTCCATTGCGGAAAATAAACAAGATGTAGTTCCTGTCCCTCCTTAAGTGTAAAGCTTGTATAATGTAGGAAATAAGAACTGACAGGTGTCACAATCTGCCTATAAACAGGAAAAATAGGATTATACTTGTTCACTGAAATACAACTCCTACCATTCTTATTGATCAGGAGAGAGCTAGGCCATGTCTGTTCAGTCTGTCTGCCTAATAAAGGCTGAGGCATTCTGCCAAATTGGCACTTCAGTTAAAAGGAAAATTGCACTACAAACATTTGGTCTAAAATTGAATGTGCGAGCTAATTTTTGTGTCAAGCAAGTAGAAATGTCTTCTCTTTGAATTGCTGTATCTCTAATACCTGTGGGTTGCAGAGACAGTGCTGTTTCCTACTTCTAAAAATGTGATTTGCACGTTGTTTGCAACTCAGCTCTCTATGAATAGATTAATAGGAATTAATATCCTGTAACGAGTCATTATATTAGAATCTTATTCCCCTATTTATTGTCACTGTTGTATGCATGTGGTTTTTTTTCTGTTGTTAACAGAAGAGAAAAATACTAGATTTAATGTTATTTAGATTCAAGGGTCCACTGACTTTTTTTTTTTAAATTTAAAATCCCCAACTTTCCAGGAGGCTGTAAGCATCCTTAAGAACTTACTAACAAGTACCAGCACTCTATGAGGCTAATAGTGCTCAGCTGCTCCATTCAATGCTATAGCAAAGTACAGAACTAACATCAGTGTAGGATGTTCTCACTCCAAGCCTAAGAATTAAGAGACCTCTGTGCTTGAATGCAGCTCTCAATGGTCCTGGGAAAGAAAAGAAACTAAAGTCTTGCTTTAGATTATATTAAGTGCACTGGACAGTCTTAGGTACTACCAGTCTAGAACTATGAACTTTTTTGGACATCGGTTACCMAAGTCCATGTACTTGAGTAACCTAAACAATGTGTTTAATGTTAAATTACCAGTAAGGGATGTGCCATTGCAGATGGCAGAGAACACATAAATAACTAGAAACAACAAAACTGAACTTAGGACTCTTTCCATCTCTTAAATAAATATATTGTGTTGTGATACTGCACTTGCAGCAACAGTAATTTTATTTTTGTCTAAGTAAAGTGCAGGTAGCTCTGCAGCAAATACCAATTAAAGCGATTTTACTGCAATGACTGTTGTACCTGTAGCTTGTCAAAGGTGGCTTTGCAACAATCAGATGTCACTGCACCAGTCATTTTCTGTGGAYTGTGATAAGGAAAGGAGCAGAGAACCTGCACTAGTTACCCTGTAAAACATTACTTCTGTTCTTGACATTTAAAAGAAAAATTGAAATAGTCTTCAGCAAAATTGAGTTGTTGGGTGTTATGACGTGTCCCTGGCCTTGCTCTCACGGCCAGCTGAGGAACCTGATGTAACACCACAGGCCAGGTAACTTGGCTCTTCATTTCTGGAATTGTTATGTATTTTAGACAACCCTCTGCCTGAACTCATGTCCTGTACAGCACAAACTCTTCCTCTCATCTGACTGTAGCACTCCAGAAAATCTGAGGAGGAGGATTCATCATCAGCTCTGTTCAATCTGTTTTGATACTCCATTCTTTGCCTTTTCTGAATTTTGAGACAGAAGGTGCTGAGCACAGGGTAAAATCACTCCTTAGCCCTCAATATCTGCAAGGGAGAGCTTGGTTCAACATCTGGGGAATACACAGAAAGTCAGCTTATAGCATCAAAGAAAGAAAAAGCTATGCCTCACATAGCTTGAGTAATACCTTGACAGCTGAAGGATACTTCGCTTTTCTTCCAAGAAATAATTGTCAGGTGTTTTTTCTCTATAATTTGTTGCATAACAAATATTCTCACTGCCTTCTTTGTATAAAATACTGTATTACTCACTGTGCCTTAACTTAATCCTTCCTTTTTTTGCAAACTGTATGAAAGTAGTTACTTTCATATTGGTTTAATTTTTTCTGTAAATGCATTAATTGGTTATTTTATATTTAATATAATTTTTGAACTCGAAGTTGGCTATGGATTTTCCTTTAAAACTGTGTGGTCTTTGAAACTTTACGCCTGTACACAGATGCATGTGCCYGTTTACTGTTTTCATCTTTACTGTCACACATCCTGGCTGAAGATTCAGGCATCAGAATTCAAACCATCATTTTACCTTCACCCCTTCCTTAGACCCTCATGTAGTACTCTGTGTTCAGCACTACCTCAAACTAATAAATAATGCAGGATTGCAAACACTTCTGGCATGGAGCTATTGTAATTCTATCTGAAAGCTGAAATATTTCTATGGCTTTCTTAAGGATTAAGAGAGTTYCACAGCTTTCACTACTGCTGTAGCTCAGTTATACAATTAAGATGGATCACATAAAATACTTGCACAGGAGGTTAACGGTGAAAGCCTCTCTACAGGTGTTTTAGTTTTAACTAAAGTTCAGTTTTAACTAGATCTAAAGTAGTGTAGTTTTATTTCTGTTAATGAACCTCTTAAAAATTAGGTAACTATTCTGCCAGTTCAATAATTTACTTATCCTTTCTGTGACACACTTCAAACTGGTCATGCATAGAAGAAAAAAGGCCTAAATTCTTTACTTCTTACTGAGAACTTCTCTTACTGAGAACATTCACAACAGAATGCTGAACAATTCTATCACYATACAGAATGGAGTGGGAGGCTTGGGATGGCTGAGCAGACACAGGCCAGTGCTGAAGATGATACCCAGAACCTTAMCTTCAGTGTAAATTCACACTTAGAATAGGGTATTTAAATAAGAATAKGGCTTGGTACACGTGAAAAAAGTCCAAAGATATTTATTAAAAAAAAAGTAATTTTTGCCTTGCTTTTTGGTTTCAGAAATTAGTTCTTTGACTTCCTGTAAGTACCACATTTTATATCGTATGTAGGGCAAATGGGGAAGGGGAGAGAAGCAAAATAGAAGAGGAATTTTTTCAGATAATGAATGTTTCCAGTTTCCAACAGTTTGCCCATCAGACTGAGATCTCTCTATGGACRCAGCCTGCTCCCGTTCAAGTTATGTATCATCAACATCAGCAGTGTTGTCATTATCACTTGCCACAAGGACCTCTCTGTTCTCATATGTCCAGAACCCATTCAGATCGATTAGAATGCTGGTAACAGTGTCTCCTTGACTGCTATTGATCAAGTCTTGAAGGGAGATTTTGTAAGGGTCCTTAGGCTTCACCATATCAAAGATTTCATCCTATGAAAGAAAAATCAAAATTGGGAGAAAAGCCCCCACACATTAATGAGCAGAATAATGGCTATTTCATACCATATATAGAATGATCTGTGGGTAACTAGTGTCACGCACACGGATTTACAAAAAGCAGCTGTTAAGCCCCAAAGCATTTAAGATACAAAGCACACTGACTCATTGGCTCCAGTTAGGAGCAGTGTCCTCAGTTCCCACATCTCAAGTAAGAATTTGYTTTTCTCGGGAGGCTTGGGCCTCAAAGTGGAAAAATGAAAACTCAGCTTGTTTTGTAGAAGGTCTTATACTTACTTCTTAAGTATTAGAAGTGCTAAATACAAAGCAGGCAGTAATCAGTTTTACAGGCTGTTTTTAAAGTTAGCAGTCTGCCCCCTGTCCCCCAAGGAATGATCCCTGGAGCTGTAAAATRGACTTAGTAAGTACCTTCAAGTATAAGAAACAACATTATGTATTAAACAGATATTTTGTCTATTAAGGAAACTACTAGAACATAGCAGGTATTTCACAGAGCAACTGCTGACTAGCAAGGCATTTTCAAACCAATGCGTAGGACAAGTCAGCTTATTTCTACTACTCTGCAAGTAAATATACAGCAACCTAGAAATCATGACATAATTAAATCCTGAAATGCTTATTCAAAGTTTTTACACAATACTCTATTTGGTAAAGTTTACCTTGACATCCTGAAAAGAAACTGGTTCTTGTCCATGAATTTTCATTTGCTCCTGAATAGCCTGGGGAAAAAAAAAAAAAAAAGTTAGGAAAGGCTGGTGCATTATTATACGGACACTGTATGAAAGTTTTTTTCATCTTCCTGCATCTCAAGCTGTACTTCCCTGTAACAAAGCATTCATGATACAGCTTGCAATCATTCCTCTTCCATAGGAGAGGCAGCARTGACTTAAGGTGTTATCAATGATTTACATTTCTAGGTTCACAGTTCTTAGGCAGTACATGAATCTCACTTTCATTAAGACTAGTGTTCAAACAATTTGCAAATGGGCTACAAAGACATTTGGGTATTATCCCTCAGCACTCAAAACCAGAAGGTTACGTTTTCTGATACAGTATGAAATACATGCTAGGGAATGAGAGAAGGAAAATGACCAATCAGCAGAAAGACAAATCAATGTTTTTAATGTGGTACTATTAAACACCTGCATCACCAAACCTGCAAGTAACAATTATGAACAAAACTGTTTCACCAGCTAAAGCTGCACAGTCTTACCAACACAGCCTCTGTTGGGGCAGACCTATTCACACTTAATGCTAGCAGAAAAGTGATCATTCACAGGGCCAAGAGGAATTGTTCTGATTTCAAGGAAAAATCAGATTCCATGTTCAAAAGTTAAAGGAAATGTTCTGGAGTACAATCAAGCATCTGCTGTAATGAAGGAGCCTTTTCAATAACTAAGCCATAGAGTAAGTATGTGACTGAAGAGATGGACAAAAACAACCATACCAGAATAATTTATGTAGTATTACCCTCTTAAATTGCGTTCATATTAGAATCACGTATGTACTATGACAACCCTAAAATTTATGTTTTTGTAAAATGTAAACCTGAAAATTAACACCCTTTATTAAAATCAGAGACAGTTGATATGGCCYTTCATCTCCCTGAATCCTCCATTTATGTGAACAGAAGTGGACAAAACACTGGGAATAGTGAGCTTTAAAAGCAGGGAGAGAATAGGAGTAATTGCTTAGTTCACTAGGATCCTTAGTATTGCCAGTCCTGGTCTGACAGCTGCCCATGGAGCACACGAGGCAGCTGCAACTACTCATTACAATACAGGAATAAGGTGGATAGAAGATTATGCCTCGAGCAGGCCCAAATGTGTTACTTAAGGGGCTCAATGGAGTATGTACTGGGTTCTCATCCTTCAAGCACACRGCTAAGTACAATGACATTATCTGTTTTTACACTTACAATACAAAGATCCACATAAAGAAATTTGGAATGCTTGTCCCTATGTCTGAATAGGTATCACTGAGGGGATCCTGTACATKAATAAAGCATCAAGCTTGTAACTCAGCTGAAACCATCCACAGCAAATACTGTTTTACTGTTAGCATTTGCCTTCCCCAGGTATCTCAGGTATCAACTAGAAAATCAAGACAAAACAACAAAACACCTGCCCCCTCTCCAAACCAACATCACCAGTCAGAAAAAAAAAACCCCAGCAAAAAACCCATCACACGTAAACCACACTTCGAAGGAAGATTTTACAATTTTAAGTTAATTTTAACAACAAAAAATTAAGCTTAATTTAAATCTATTTTGGAAGCAACAGCTAAAAATGCAGACTATGACAAATGCAAGAAGATTTTTGCAAGCAAGGCACTGAATGAAAAATTCTGCAGCTRTACAGGCCTATCAATAAATTTCCTTATTTTCATTTCTTCTACTGAATTTTAGGATCACAGCTGAAATTAAAACCATGGGCAATAATCAATCAGAACCATCATAAAATATTTTAATAGGTAATCATCATGCAATTATAGGACAATTTTCAGTTWAAAAAAAATCAACAGAAAATATTTTTCCTAACTGAAATCAAAACAGGTAATTTCWACTGCAGATAAACTGCTGAAAATATCTTGTGAAATATTTCCCATTTTTGTCTTTTTAAAAAAAATATTTTAAATCTTCTTAGAAGTCATTACTAACCTCCCTGTGGCTGTTGGTAACTTAAAGTGATTTCCTGCAGATCTGCATGCAGAAGCACATAGGCTATAATACTATAAACACAGAAAATGGCCTACTTGTATAAAGAGACTTACCCTAAAGAAATAATTAAGGGAAAAGACATTCAGGTGTCCTTTGTTCTCTATATCA